TGGCTTGGAAAGTGGGGTTTCGCAGCAGCACCAGTCCTCCCCCACAGCTCCCCTAACGGATTTGCTGGTCCCCACTTCGCCACCTCGTCTCCCTGGGTTTGCAGCTCCTGTTCAACAACAGGCTGACCCACCACTCATCGACTTGAGTGGAGACAAGTTCCCTGCCAGTAGCGCAGCAAACACTACGAACTGTGATCCTGAACCAGGATGAAAATAGAATTTTAAAATGTTTTTCAATAGCCACATTTTTTAATGTTGGTACATAAGTGTGTTAAAATATATCAATTCACTTTTATATATTATATAGATAAAACTAATGAGTAGTTGCATGCACATGGGGGAGGCTAAGCAAGAGCGTGATTGTGTCTGTGGTATTTAAACGTGGGTGCGAGGATTCTGTGATTTTGATGGGATGTGTTGCATGAATCTAAGCGACCACGCAGAATCGCTTCTTAAGAGTATCCAAAAACTGAAAGATCTAAACAAAGACTTGCAGCTAAATCAGGGGTGGGATGCTTTGGGTCTGTTTTCATGGCTTGGGAATTTTGGATCGTAGGTCAAAAATATCACAGGGTTTATTTTAATAGCTCTAATTGCTGTGTTAATGATTGCTTTATGTCTTCCTTGTCTTTTTTCTTGTGTTCAGTGATCAATCGAACAAAGTATGAATCAGGTTATGGAAACACAGTTATATGCGAACCTTGCCCTTTTGCAGATAAATAAAGAAGGAGGAGATGTGGGAAACAATGGAAACTATTTGATTTTTGCCAAAGAGAAGTAACTGCTTGGCTGGAGAAGGAAGAGTTAAAGAAGAAACAAAGTACATTGTGCAATTAAGCAGAGCAACTCAGCTGGCTGAGGAGGAGAGAGCATAAGATACCAAGACACCTGGCTGAGGAGGAGAGAGCATAAAGATAAGAGACTGGCTATTCTGGGACTGGTTGTGAGAGAGCGAGCAGTGTTAAACAACAAACTGTAAGTCAGGAACTACACACGATAGGCTACAAATAGAATGGTATAAAAGCTAGAGCAATAGGCTAAAAATAACTGTTGTTAGAATGGTATAAAAAGTTAGAGCAGTAGGCGATAAGGTGATTCACTGCATGAAGATGCTCTGGGTCCATGCCATTAATCTCCACAGCATACCAGCTTACATCTCCACATCTTATTTATTCTAAATGCAGCCACCTCTTGATTTTCATTTACTGGGAAAGCACAGTAATTATGGTTCAGCCATAAACCTAACCTTATTTTAGAAATTCTTTTGACTTTCTTTGCTATATCCAATTAGCTACTTCGTAACTCCTGATCTCTGAAATACTGCATATTTTAGTACAACTAAAAGGGAAAGAAATGTCAGTTTAACTAAAAAATTTCTTAACATTCACCTCACTGCTTCCTTGGGTACAACAGATTCTTCTGAAGTTACTTGCTACTTACCCAATGGCTTTTTGTGCTGCTAACATTAAAGGTGTTTGTCCATTGAAGTCTGTTGTGTCTACGTTCTAAGTATAAGAAAAAGATAACAAGCAAATGATTACCAGGGATTTCAGGAGACAGAGTTAGATAGTCAGATTTGGAGCTATACAAGTGGCTTAGCTGCACTAATAGAAAGAAAATGGAAAGAAACCAAAATGTACCAGCCAAGAAGCCAATGCTCATTTAAACATTTTTCTCTCTGCTCTGTCAGTATTCCATAAGCACTCCCTTCAGAACACATAGAGTCTCCACTAAGGACATCTTTAAGGGAGAGTCTCCACCAAGGACATTTTTAAGGGAACCATGTTAACCACATTTCTTGTCCTGTTTTGCACAAAGATACTATAAATAAAATGGACTTTGTAAAGCAATGTTAACCACCCCCCTTCTATGAACAGAGGTACGTAACAGAATGTCCAAGTACATGCAACCGGTTTATTAAAACAACAAGAAAAGGATTAAGTACCTTAAGATATAATTATTAAATCATCTAACCTGCATTACCTAATACTCTTCACAGTGAAAGTTTCCTTCTTCCCCGCCTCCACCCATTACGTCAGAGCAGAACTACTTAAAAGAAATGTTTAATCACTCAAATTTTTTAGTTGAAGATAGGTGGGCTAAAAGCTTCCTTAAGTTTGTGATACACACCATCTATACCTACATTCCAGAAGTCAGTCACTATAGTAGAGAGCTCTGTGAGAAATACAACATACTTACCAAATCTTTAAATCTTAATACTCAGTGCTTCAAATAAAGAGTCTAGATCATGTAAAACTCTCATTTTTATTAGCAAATTATTACACTTGTCATTACTTCTGCTTGTTTCAGATGTAAGCTAAGCAGACACCAACTAGAGTAGATACAATATAAAATGACACAATACACAAACATTTGTAATAAAGAATTCAGACCTAGGCTGGTCATCTATTTTGCATACTTCAGTTGAGGGACAATTGCACAGATCATTAGTTACAAAATTGTAATCAAATAGTAAATGCTTCCTGATGCAGATAGGGCATATAGTGCTTTTTGTTCTCAGGTAAGAGCCAGTTATTTTACAACACCACAAATCAGTGTAGTCTTAACTCTCCTTAAACACTGAATATTATGTGAATGTGACAAGAACAGGGGAGAGTACTAAAACAAAAAAACAAATACATATAAATGTATAAATAATCTAAGTTACTCTGAACTTGTGGCACAGGGAAATATTGTCATATACCTGCTTGTCATCTAGAAAACAAAAAAGTTAATTCTGAATTGTATCGTATACACAGGCAGGTACTCATAAGTAGAAAACAATAGTGGGACATCAACAACATACCTGGCCTTTGGATATGAGGTAAGCTACAATGGGCACATGTTGGAACAGCACTGCTAAATGGATGCTACTGAATCCTTCCCCATCAATAAGACTGGGATCTGCTCCACATTTCAACAACAGCATCACCATAGGTAGATGTCCTTGTCTGTAACAATATATAAGATGAAATTAGAAATGACAAGAAAGACCAAAATTCTAATGAAATCATTGCCTTGATAATTCTCACAGGTACTCTGAAAATGAAAGAATCCTTTCAGATTGTTGTGGTTTTATTAAGGAAATTACTTTTTTAAATTAAATTTTATATCAGAAAATTGTATTAAAAACATACCTTAATAAATCAACCTAAGGCAAACCATTAATTTAGAATACTATGGTTATTCTACAGTTATTTCTCTAGTGAGCGGTCTTCCTCTGAAGAATATCTAACTTTGTTTGGCAAAAGACTAAGATAGCCCAGTAGAAAGTACCGACCTCCTAATGTAACAATCTGCACTCAGAGAAGTTATCCCAGAATAATTACTTAAGGCTATGCTTCTTCCCAGTTGAGCAGGTCCTTTAACTCAAATACTGTCCTAGAAGTTAAAGTTGAATGATTTTAAATGTATCAGTTGAACAGATGTTGTCTACAGCAGATCCAGAAAGAGCAGATCCAAAGAGATGTTAAACATATGCAAGAACCAACAGATACCATCACCCAGGAAGACACCGCATGTTAGGGGGTTGGAACTTGATGAACTTTTAGGTGCCTTCCAACCCAATCCATTCTATGATTCTATGTTTGTGGTGGCAGCTATAAGGAGCCCAAGAGGAAAAGCTGATAGCACCAGGAGATAAAGGCCAAAGACCTCTCTATATGCCTCTGAACAACAAGGTGGCTTACAGTGGTCCTACTGCTATAAGCTTGTGCTTCAAGTCCAAGACTGGCAACGTTGAGAGTCTTATGAGAGCACACCAAGATGTGGTGCTGAAAAGCTAAGAAGCTTTTAGTGCAGAAGCTAGAATGGCTGAAGACATACTAACTAGACAGGCTGCAGTCCGAGAGGAACAGTGACCACAACTTCTACAGACTTAAACTGTGCCCCAATAACCACCACCAGCAAATGTCAGTGCCCTAACATAATGTTGTGGTTCAAGCCCAGCTGGCAACCCGGAACCACACGGCCGCTCACTCACTCCCCCCCTCACCTTCTTCCTTCAGAGGGATGGGGAGGAGAATCAGAGGAATGTAACTCCCACGGGTTGGGATAACAGCACTCCAGTAACTAAGGTATAATACAAACCACTACTGCTACCAATAATAATGATAAGAGGAATAACAAGGGGAGAGGACACAACCGCTCACCACCCGCCGACCGATACCCAGCCCGACCCGAGCAGCGATCTGGGCCTTCCGGGTAACTCCCCCCAGTTTATATACTGGGCATGACGTGCTGTGCTATGGAATACCCCTTTGGCCAGTTTGGGTCAGGTGTCCTGTCTCTGCTTCCTCCCGACTTCCCCTCCTCCCTGGCAGAGCATGAGACTGAGAAAGTCCTTGGTTGGAGTAAACATGACTTAGCAACAACTAAAACCATCGGTGTTATCAGCACTGTTCCCAGGCTGAAAGTCAAAAACACAGCCCTGCACCAGCTACTAAGAAGGAGAAAAAATGACTGCTGGAGCTGAACCCAGGACACGTAACAAGCTTTCTTTGCCCTAAGGCGGGACTTAGGAAGTGAAGTCTGAACACCACTGTTCCATCCCCAGGGAAACTTCAAAATGGGAGTTCAAGTGACTGAAGCACAGATACAAATGTAACACAATTGCATGGCCTGCAAAGCTGCCAGGGATCAGAGAACAGATTTCAGCATTATTATGGACATGCTGTGAAATCCCTTATACCTCAAAAAATTAAACCCACTGCAGTGTTTGATTTATGATGACCATTGCTGTACTACACAAACTGCTACTATAACTGTTAATACTAAGAGATTTACAATAGGAGTTTCAAGCAGCATACCTAATGGCCCAGTGAAGGGGAGTTGAATTCAAATCTCCACCTAGCTGATCCACTATTGCACCTTTGGAAATATAATACCTGTTCAACAGTAACATAATAAGATTAAGAACAGACATAATAAAAGATTAAAACATGATACTAAGGATAACATAGCTCTAGTAGCAAATAGCTTATAATAAATATTCACTTAGAGAAGCAAATGGACACGAGAATATTTTCAGTAAAGAATGCTGGTTTGAGAAAATGTTTAAGAACAAATACAGTCATTAGCAAGGCACTTGTAAAATCAGCTTTAATCTTTGTTAAACAAACCAAGCCCAGGAAAATCTCATGATTTAACGTACTACATAATTTTACGTATAAAGAAGCCACGGTAACGCTACATTTAAGTGACATTCTCACAAAGGTAATTGGGTTAAAACGTTAATTTTACGCTTTTCTTCCCAAGCAGCATGTTTGTTTCTTTTGAAGTATAATAGTGATAAAGTGATTATAAATAGCAGAGGCAGAATACTCATGTTACTTTCCCAAGGACTCTAGAGCTTACTTAACCAGCTCCTGTCTGTTGTTTATTGCTGCCCAGTGAAGAAGAGTCACATTTTCTTTGTCTGGTTGTCGAACATCATATCCTGCTTCTACCAATTCTTTGCATCGGTCTATCATTCCATACCTTAAATGAGAAAAAAGAAAAAGAATAGATATCACTCATTTGTTAAGTATCCTTCAGTTTAGAGACAGCCACATACTAAAGAAAAACAAACCTCAACAAGCATCACCCAGCTGCACCTACTTGAGCAAATTCCACATTGCATTCAATGTAAGTCCAGCAAAGAGTTGGCCTGAACCTTGATGAGCAGAACTTTCTACCTAATTAACCTGGTTGACATACTATTGCTTATGATAAAAATACTTGCAACAATACTTCCAAATTATTTCCTTCTTTCACTATGGGGAGAAAATGAAACTAAAGTTTTCCTTTGTAAAAATATCCAACCTGGCTCATATTTGAGGTCACTCCCATCTATTTCAACATTCTGCACACACAGAACATATACTTACTGCGTAGCCTTGACAATATCACAGGTGCTGGGGTCTTCAACAACAGGATAAAGCCCTGGTAGCACTGGGAGATCTTTATCCCCGTGGGCACTGTGGCAGTTGTGCATATGAGGTCGATGAGGCCCATGGCAATGGCCTTTACACTGTTGGTTAACAAAGCATCCATCAACAAACATTTTTCATACACAGAACACCACACCTCCGTATTATATTAATAAGAATAAGGAAGTTAATTTAAAGCACAGTTAAAGCCACCTGACAAGAGACTAGTCCTTTTATTTAGCACAGGGACATGGGAGGATGGAAGAGAGATAGTTAAAGTCCATCGGTTACAAAGGTGTTAAGCACCTTGCAGAGCTAGCTCCTGGCACAACACCCTTAACCCATAGCAATGTTGCTGTGCTAGAAATGCCAGCACTTAGCTGCAAGAAAGCTGGAGAGGAACTTCTTACAAGGATATCCTAGTGATAAAGCAAGTAGAAATGGCTTTAAACTAGAAGAGGGGAGATTTA